ATATATATATATATATATATATATATATATATATTTAATATAAGTAATTAAGATTGATGTTTTATGTTGTATTAAGTTGTTTTGAGTTGTTTTTATGTTATTTTGTCAGTGTTGGAGTGAGAATTAGAGTCAAAATGATCCTAAGTTTAAATTATATAGGATATAACAAGTGTCTAAGAGTAGACTCGAGGAAAGTTGATGTATATAAGGAAGATTTTGAAAAATAAACTTCATACGTTTATAACTCAAGATGTGAAGCGATAAGTTAGATAGAAATTGGAAAGTCCTTGAGAACTCCGAGCTTTAGTTTGTAACACCCTAAAATTATTAAAATTATATTTTAATTAATTAAATAAAATTTAAAAAATAATTCAAAGACTTTTAAAATAATTATAAGTATTTTAAATTAATAAAATATTTTGAAATTCTTTTTGTTATAGTAATTACTTTGAGAAAATATGCGTTCTAATTAATTTTTTAATTAAGTGTATTTTGGAGAAAAAAAATGTGTTTTATGTTGTGGGTTATTTAGTTATATTTTTATTTATGTTGTGGGTTATTCATCTATGATTGCTCATCGAGCTAAGAGAGAAATGGGTAGTCTCGCTTTGGGATGTGGGTTATACGTTAAGTAATGAGATTGCTCCTTAATCTCTTTCCAATTCTTGTATGTGGTGAGGGAGGAATCTGAATTCTGCTATATAATTTGTGAATTTGTATTTCATACTCTTATATTATGTGCATTATTTGTGATGATTAAGATATATGTGTAATCAATTTCATGTGAATTGAAGTATGTGTGAATCTGTGAGTACTTGTAGTTTTTGTAGGAAACCCTTGATTTATAAAATAAAGTAAAGATCGATGTTAATTGCATGAATAGGTAAAATTGATGTTGAACATGAGTAATTAATGCTATAATAGAGTAGTTTTAGGTCTTAATCTATGTTTTTACTGATTTGATGGAGACTTTGTGTTTTGAGGCTTGACTTGTGTGATTTTCGCACATTCTACTAGGTTTTCACGAACTAGGGTCGTGTTTGACACAAATATATGGCACTGGGCATGATAATTCAGTGTTGTTTGTTCCTTTGGCATTGGGTGTCAAATACACCTCGTTAGATGTTGTTTGATCCTTTTTCTATTGAAGTTTCTCCTTAGGCACAACCTCAACCACACTAGGCGCAAGTGATGTAGAGAGGGTGTGTCCTCTATGCACCAAGCGCAAACAATGCCATGTCAAACATGATAATATTAGAATTAAGTTTTATGATCTTCAAAATAATTATAATATTGGATGTTAATTTTTTAATGTCCTTGGAATCATCCAAAATGGAGGTTTAGAATTCAAGTTATGATCAAATTAGTGAGTGAAGATCAAGTTGTTAGATTTAATTTAAAATATAGTGGTTTTGTAATTTTTAAAAATAGTAGGTGGCAAAATTAACTCTTGATGTAAATATAGAAGTTTTAGACAATTATCTTAGTTTTCTAACAAAATCAAGATCAACTTGATAAGATGAATATAGCTCTAGATATTATGTTTGGACCATGAAAGGTCATAGAAGATTAAGTTACAGAATGATAGATTGTGAGAGGTGATAGTGAATTGTTTTATCATTTATGTGTTTGATCTTAGTAGGCATGGCAATGGGGCAGGGCGAGGGCAGGTTTTACATTCCCCGCCCCCGCCCCCGCCCCCGCTCCTATTTTTTTTTTCTTTTTTTCTTTTAAATAAATATGAACAATTTTAAAAAAATAAAAGAAAAGAAAAATAATATAAATTTTTACTTATAAATATTTCTAATTTTGGTTTATATATATATATAAATAATTTTTTAATTATATTATTAAGCAGGGCGGGGGCGGG